CCAGAGAGCGGCTAATGAGGTAGATGATTCACGCTTCATGTCTCCCACAGAGTGGCCCTTGTCTCTTGCTGCCGGGGAGCCTCTCACAGACTCCGGCGCTGGCCCCACGCAGCCCTGAGCTGCAGCGAATCAACAAGTGAGAGCCAGGCTGCTGGAAAAACGATGATATTCAACATGAGGGTGCTCAGCTTCAGCCCTGCACACTCCATCACACCTGCTTCAATTCAGCGGCTAATTGTTAATCTCTCCAAAAGCTGAGTCAGGTGTGGTAGACTCATCCAAAGAAGCACATACGTTTCAATGGCTTTTGCCAGGAGTGCTCAGAACACCATTTCATAAGTGTGTGCTCAATGTACCGGCTGCTGTAACCTGGTTTAATGCGTGCAGTTTTGCAAGCCTATACAGTAAAAATCTAAAAAAAAATTTTGCCGCAAAGTATCTTAAAAATGTTGGGTTAAAACGCAGTATTAGGAAACACTAAGTACTTAGAAAAATCTTTTTGCAATTTCATTTAACAGGCTCCACATTTTTCTTATATTTTATTTTTTCCTTGAGGTCCACTAATGGCATTTTATGTTGTTTTATGCACCAGAATCAGTCATAATTCATGTTTACATAACCATTTATCAGTTAAAATTAAACAGGCTGTTTCTTACAGTGCTTTTAAAGCTGATATGTGTAAGTGGGCTCCTCAAATGAGCTGTAACCTGGTTTAATGTGTGCATTTTTGCAAGCCTATACAGTAAAAATCCAACAAAATCTTTTTGGCACAAAGAATCTTGGGTTAAAATGTAAGTTTACTTTGTCCAACATGATCTGCCTTAGTATTAGGAACATATAAAATACTTAGAATTTTTTTTTTTTTGCAATTTGATTTAATGGACTCTACATTTTTCTTGTATTTTATTTTTTCCTTGAGGTCCACTAATGACATTTTGTGTTGTTTTATGCACCAAAATCAGTCATAATTCATGTTTACATAACCATTTATCAGTTAAAATTAAACGTTTTTTTAAACCTGATATGTGTAAATGGGCTCCTCAGATGAGCTGTAACCTGGTTTAATGCATGCATTTTTGCAAGTCTATACAGTAAAAATCCAACAAAAAAAATTTTTGCCACAAAGTATCTAAAAAATGTTGGGTTAAAATATTGTTTGCCTAACCAAGAAATGTAAGTTAGGAGAACTTTGGATTAAAGTAAGAAGTTTATGCTGGGTAAACTCGTGTATACGAGTTGAGTTAACTCAATAAAACTGTTATAAGTTGCCTTATAACTGTAATTTTCAGTTTTCCTTTACGTTTTATTCTGCGATCACTAGAATTATGTCAATGTCATGAAAATTTAGACATCAAATAATAACTTCAAAGCTTGAGTTTCTGCAACAGTGTGATGTAGTCTTGTACTTTGTTTGTTAAACTTAAACATTTGAGTGTTTTTAACTCCATATATAATTTAATTTCTCACTTTAAAAAGTGAGTTTCAAAACTTTTAAATTCATTTGGGGCAAAACTAGTTACTGCTAATATTTTGAGTAAACTTATCAAACTTATCTGCCCCCCCATCCCCTTCCTCGCTCACCTCCTGCCCCCCCCTCCCAAACCATCGTAGATTTCACTTAATGAAGGAGGACCAGGTCTCGTCAGATCTACCTAAAAAATTACTACAATTATTACAAGTAAATTAAGTAGTTTTATTCAACCTAAATAAATGCTTTGAATGAACGATTCTTTCAATCGATGTAGTTTTTTTATGTTAAATAAAACTAATTCAACTGCTTGTTACCACATGAAATAATTGTTTAGGTAGATCTGACGAGACACTTTTTACAGTGTACAAGAACCCAGTCCAGTTTTCTCTGCAGCTGTCGCTGATCTGACATCTGGTGAGCAGATGATGAAAATGAACATCGCCGTTATCTCCAACTTCCCGAGGATCTACTCTTCCTCTGAGTTTAAAGGCTGTAAAAGACATATTTTGCTCTAGTAGACCTTGATAAGCTGGATCAGGTCTTAGACATTTTACATTAGTCACTGGCTTATCTCATGGATCTTCCTTTGTTTGATCTAAGTACTCCTACTTGTGAAACTTGTTCTACTTGAATGATATCTCCACTATTTGCTGTCAATCAGAGGAGGATGGGTTCTTCTTTTGAGTCTTGGTTCCTCTCAGTGCTCTTAGGGTAGTTCTCCTTTTGAATCTTGGTACCCCCTCATAATTTTAGAGATTTTCTCCTTCTGAGTCTTCGTCCATCTCAGTGGTTCTTCCTAATGCTCTTGTTGAGATTTTACTTTTTAGTCTTGGTTCCTCTTCATGGACCAGGAAAGCTGCTTTGGGACAGTCTATTCTAAAAATAGCATACAAATAACTTCGAAGTGACCTAAATACGGTCCATTGTCAGAGCAGAGAAAACTTTTTTATGATAAAACAAAGTGACTATTATTTTCAGTGCAGCCAACCTGAACTTGCATTTGCATGAGACCGTAATACTGCTTCACATGAGACCACAGCATGGCTTAGCATGACCTGTCTATGCTTGGTCACAGGCGGACGTAGCTTTTAGTGCTGTCACTACAATTCTCTGTTTTGTTTCATGTAGATTGACAGTGGGATATGTCAGAAAATGTTAGATTTACAAGGTAGATTTTTAATTGAATTGAATTTGAACACTTGCTAACCAGGGTTTGAATTACTTCAATCAGGTTGGCATTTTAGAGAACCTCTCTACAGCCATTAACTTGAATCAAAGCAATTACTCACTTGTACATTGACCCCCTACAGACCTTTGGTTGTGGCCCCTACATATATATATGGAACAAACCCTCACATCTCCAAAATGGTAACTTTACAGGAGAAGGAAAAAAACATACTTTACTTTCAATGTAAGTCAATGGAACCAGATTTTTTTTTCCAAGTCATTCTGGGTCATTTTTTGTGGTCCATTCAACATGAAATTAACATACAATGTAAAGAGTAGTAGGTTTGTTCAAATTATGTCAAAAAATGAAAAATTGAGGTTTTCTTCTGAAAACAGCGACACACACACACACACACACACACACACACACACACATATATATGTGTGTGTGTGTGTGTGTGTGTGTGTGTGTGTACAGGTATCTACACTTTGAAAAAACAGAAAACATTTAGAATACATCTCAATAAAACAAGTGGGAATAACTTTTTTTTAGGAACTCACACCGTTCCTGTCTGTTACTGGTTGGCAGTTTTCTTTGTGTAATTCTTCTGTCAATATGTTTTTTTTTTTTTTTAAATCATTTTGGCTCTATTAAGCAAACAGCTCACCACATCCCAATAACAGAATTCTGTAAATTTCACTGTAAGGTGGGTAGTTAATGATTTTCGGTTAATGAGGTAACACACAAAACGCCTGAACAAGACCAAGTACAACACTGACACTAAGCTCATCACTGGAGAAAATACCCTAGATAAATAGATAGATAGATAGATCATTTGATTGATTGATTGATTGATTGATTGATTTATTCATTCATTAATAGATAGAGTGATTATTGATCTCCAAAGGGAAAGTGCCATGTTGCAGCAGTAATTCACATTAATTACCCAACAGTGTGTAGTACCATACATATTTAATACATTTTCAAATTGTTTCAAATGATAAATACATTTACACACTTTTTGCTGTTGTTGGAAGAAAACCTCATATTTCCAAAATGATAACTTCACAGTAGAAGAAAAAACCTATTTTACTTTTAATGTAAGTCAACGGAACCAGACTTTTTTCCAAGTCATGTTGGGCCGTTTCTTTCGGTCCAATCATCGTGAAATTTACAAAGTAAAGAACAAAAGGCATTTTCAGATTATGTCAAAAACTGAAAAACAACAAAAATGGACATACAAGGTTTTCTTCCGACAGCTGTGATATATACACAACCATGATAAACGTGTGAAGTAGGCTTTTTTTGTCTTATTGCTTGAGTCCAGATTTAAACCCTATAGAGAATATTTGCTCTCACATTAAAAACAAACTAGCTTGGCGGTGTTTTTCAGCTGTTTGAAGCCGTCAGTGCTGAGTGGAACAATATTGACTCTTCTTTCTGTAAAAGGCCGTCTGCAAATTTACACACTTCAACATTTAAAGCAATCAAAGGGAAGAGCTCTCTTGTACTAACTTACTTTGTCTATTTGGTTAATGATTTGTCGTTGAAAAGTTTTTTGTTTTGCCATATATATATATATCCCCAAAATTATAACTTTATAGGAAATGTAGGTCAATGGAACTAGACTTTTTTCCCCAAGTCATTTTGGGTCATTTCTTTTGGTCCATTCTTTATGAAATTTACACACAATGTAAAAGAGCAACAGGCATTTTCAAATTATGTCAAAAACTGAAAAACAATAAACGACAAAAATAGAGATTCGAGGTTTTCTTCCAATATACATATGTATGTCTCTCTCTCTCTCTCTCTCTCTCTATATATATATATATATATATACATATATACATATATATGTTGTCATGTGTTGTCATGTGTTGTCAACTGTGTACAAATGATTCATGGAGAGAGAGAGAGAGAGAGAGAGAGAGAGAGAGAGATGCAGATATACATGTATACACTGTTAGAAACAGAAATAATATTACTATATCACTTGTCTCAAATGTTGTGTCTAATGCACAGCTGTCTACTTTCCTTTATGAGGGACATTAAAGAGTTAATAAGAGTCGTCCAAACTGATTCATACAGAAATTCCTATAGTGTTTTTTTTTAATGAGGGTGCATCACAACAACGCGTCTACAGAGCTCAGAGAGAAGCACTCAGCGGGAAGTAAAATGCCCAAGGTGGGTAAGAAAAAGTTTAGCAGTCGCTGATATGGACGAGTAAAGACGCACGTTTTTATAATAGAGAGCGAGCGCTGTCTTTGGCACGGCTCTGCTGGGATTTTAAAGCTGGGCCGCGGTGATTGGGTGCTGGGGAGTCACGCGGTGTGCAGTCGCTTTGCACTACCTCGGCTCGGCTCGGCACAGTGGATGAACGCGAGGCGAGCTCTGCCTGCCTGCCTGCGTGCGTGCGTGCGTGTGTGCGGTTCTAGCTAGTTGTCTGGATCCTTCCTTACAATTTGTTCACTGCTGAAACCGCTTTCTCTGCTTCTTCTTTTTTGAGAGACGTGACGCGTGTCTTTTTTTCGGTCCACCATGGGCGACAAAAAGAGCCCGACCAGGTAAGCTTGGCTGTTTTTTTTGTTATGTTTTTTATTTTGTCGTCGGTCGTCTCCGTTTTTCACGGCTTCGTGTTCGGATGCCTGCTCGCTTTGCTTCTCCTCGAGGAGTGTTTCTCCCCCTTTTTTTCGCAGTTCGTGTGCTAGAGCCTCGAATAGTGCAGCTATGGCGGCTTCTCTTTCCTCAGCCCGACTCTAGCTGCCAGTCCCTGGTAGACAAAGGGAGATTTACGGAGGAAACGCCTGTCCTCGTCGGGGTTTTCACTCTGTTTTTGTCGTTTTAGCTGCAGTTAGCTCGAAGTTGTCGGTTTTAACGGTCGTTTTTTTAAACGTTCGATATCAGCGCTGGCGTCAGCTAGCTCGCGCGGCTAGCGTTAGCCTCAGCACAATCGGACGGTTTTTGAGTGTTATAATGTCTGCAGCGCTAAACCGAGTTAGCCAGTTGGCTGGCTCGGTCGGGATACGGCGGTACGGAACCCATAACCGACAAAACTTGGACACCATTTATCCAACTAACACACGGAGCTTCTTCTTATTCACCAGCTTCTTGTTCGAATTTCTCCGTTCCACCTTAAATGGTGCAGCAGTTACATTCTGGCGCCTCAGGCGCCAGAATGTAACTGCTGCACCATTTAAGGTGGAACGGGAAAATTCGAACAAGCAGCTGGCGAATAAAAAGCTTCGTATTTAATGTTTATTATTCATCATTTATGTCACTTTAAACCACCTTTACGACCCGCTTAGCCTCTTCTCGGCATCCCGCTTGCACGTATTCGTACTGGCTAGTTCGTGTTATGTGACAGCCGTGAAGTTGACCTTATTTCATATCGTATGTACACATAACGTTGTTTATAATTTTTTTGTGGTCCTCTTTCCTCCCTTAAGGCCAAAAAGACAAGCCAAACCGACGGCGGATGACAGATTTTGGGACTGTAGCGTCTGCACGTTCAGAAACAGCGCAGAAGCTTTCAAATGCAGCATCTGCGACGTACGGAAGGGCACATCCACCAGGTATGGCATTTTTCACTCAGCTCTCGCAAACAAATGCCCTTTCTTCCCTTTCTCGTCTGCGCTGGGTGCTTGGTTGCAGTGCGTACGCAGGCTGTGGCGATCTGAACTTCACCATTTCCCAGTTGAAGCCCCTGCCAGCTCGTCCAGCCCGTTCTCTACCCATGCTGGGGGGGATTTAAAGCTCTTCCAGCTCTTTGTGTGGCACTGCTGTGTTAAAAGTGAGCCTCCCTTGGAAGAGGAGTTGAGCTCAACGCTGCACTCCCGTTGTAAAAATAATCCACAACTACTAAAAGTGTTACCTGGTGTGGAAACATTTCGGTTGTGCATACTAAGATCAGAGGTGTGCTTTGTAGAGACTGTGTTGAGCCTGATCAGCAGATTTCGTTTGCTATGTTAGGTCTGTCATTAGGCTGTTTAAAGTGAGCAGAATAGCACTGAATGCTGAGATGCAGTGGAGTAGGTCTGATAGGTCTGCTGTTAGTATCGCCTAGTGTGAAATCCATTTCATTTACGCACACTGTAAGTCCAGATGTATGCTTTTTAGAGCCTGCATTGGGCCCGATCAGCAGATTTGGCATGTTCGGTTTGTCATTAAGCTGTTTAAAGTGAGCTGAAAGGCAGGGAGTAGTTGATGTTGAGCCACCACTGCACTTCCATGCTGAAAACAACAGTCCATGACTGCTATCGGCATTGCCTAGTGTGATATCACTTAATATATGTACACTGCAAGTGTAAATATGTGTTGTTTTTAGAGTTTGCCTTTGCAGAGTTTGACTTTTGGCCGGTTCAGCTTGTCAAGCTTTTGTCATTAGGCTGTTTAAAGTCAGTATTGAACGTATTTATCGTCGGGCTTCGAGCCAGGCTGTTCACTGTTGTGCATTGAGTGTATTTTGCCAAACTGTCTTGTCTAATTTGTGTGTAGTCTCTTTGTGTGTCGTCCTGTAGTCATAGATCTGCATGTTGAAGCCCTGGAGGAACGTTGTTTCACTCCTCTGCATACGTTTATATGGCTTTGGTCTTGATCTTGATCTTGGTGGCCTGCTTTGGACAGAGTTCTGACTGCTGCTTTTCACACTTGGCCTTGCCTACAGTGTGATATCGCTCAGTATTCTTATATTATGCGTTCGAATGTGCATTTCTTTGAATTCTTTTGAATGTAATCTGCAGATTTTGACTTATTCAGCCTGTCACGTGTGTGCCTTTATGTCCTACTAATGCCTATGCCTGCTGACAAGAATGTGAAAAGTGAATGAGGAACTGATACATATTCATGTCTGCTCTATAGGCCTGCAAGGTCTATTAGCCTTTAGAAATGAGGTTACAAGGTCAGTTAGCTATTAGAATTTTTTTTTTTTGTCGTTTCCAATAAGGCATGTGTAATTGTCAGTGAATCCAGGAAGCCATATAAAATAGATAGTGTGACAAGCAAGTGTGAAACCAGCCTGTTTGTTTATTGACGGTAGCCGGTAGCGCTAACCTCAACTGACATTTGACTCCAGCTGTGGGACTTTCTGTAAAAAGCCTAGAAAGTTTGTCAGATGATCTCAGTTTAAGTAAAAGTTAGACGGTGCACTAAAAGAGGATCGGTTTAGTAATATGTGCCGCTATTGAGGCTGGATTGATCATAGAATGCTCGTTTGTTTTGCCTGAAAAGCACCATTATTGTAAACCAAACAAACTGTCGGCGCGTGTACGCTGTATGTTCTGTGTTTATGGTGTGAGCCCGCCTACACTTCTCATCAGCTGACTGATGTGCTGTCTACAGCTCTGAGTAATATATGGCCAAGCACAGGAATCCCCAAGCTCTAACCTTTTCATCTGTGGTTGTACACTCAGTGCAGTACTGACATTTGAGGTAAAGTGCATGAGTTAAAGGGGGTTTGGTGGATACAGATGTCGTCCAGCAACGTAACTGTTGATAACGGCAGTTTATTCCTTCCTGAGCTAAACGAAAGGAAACAGAAAACGTACGAGCGATTCGCAGTAAGCAGATGAGTAGGATTTATGGTTATGACAGGAAGTGATGCCACGCATGTCAGAGCACCCCGCCACCAACACCACCAACCTCCCACCTCCGTCGGTCTCTTACCGGCAGCTGCCAAGCTCTCATCAGTCTGGTGAAATAGAAACGTAGGATGTCGGGGGAGAAAGCTGTTTGATCTGCACCGTTAACCTTTGATGGACGCGATTGTTTGCTGATGTAAGAAGCCTGGCTCTCGTTTTAATGAGCTCTAATTAGTCACCTTGTCCCTGTTTTGATGTATTCCAGCGGCGTGTTGGGAGGATCGGCAGTGAAACGGCACGCACCTACATGCGTTGTAGTGGTTTATCCTCTCCTTCTCCTCGCCTTTTATCTCCGTTTCCCTCTCTGAATAGGCCTTTGTGCTGTGATAACACATTTCATTTGCCAATTATTTCACCTTTGTTGGCGTTGGGAGTTCAAAGAGCGCAGCCAGCCCTCACTAAAAAGGGTGTGCGTTTATTGTCCTTTTTATGCATCTCTCAGTGATGGTAGGTTTGTTTAATGCAGTCGTGAATTTGGACCAGTGAGGTCGAGTATAAAAATTCTGTCTGAACTGTTGCCACTGGTGTCGTCCTCAGATGATTACAGCGGTTAGTGGCGACTATGGAAGTTAATTGGGCTTGTTGAACGCTTACTGAAACATCTTAAACTCAAATGAGGTTGAACTGAAATATAGCACAATTGGGAGACCTGAATAATGGTCATGCTCGTTTATTTTACACAAGAAAAAAGCTAAAGAGCAGTTGGGCTTGTGTGAAAATGTGATAACGGTGCATCCATGAAGTAGATGGTAGCAGTTATTGAGAAACTTTCAGTGGCAGGAGACTGAGAGCTTTGCTTGAGGAACACTTCCCTTTAGCAGCTGCCGGGCAATGGAGACTGTCACCTTGCGTTAACGTTAATCGAGGTTGCACAGGGTCACACGGTTTGGCGGGACAAGTCAAGAAACCTGCTGTATCACTCTCACGCCAAAGGCAGAACAGACTCATCTGAACGTGGTGGACGACATCTGACATTTGTTTCTGAATACTGCGCATTGTGTAGCGTATGAGATCACTCATAAGGATGAAGCTAGTATAAAAGACTCATTGGTCATGCTTTTAAGAAACTCTAAGCATGTGGGTTCACCTAGTTTTCTCCAGAAACTTTGGTGCACTTCTGCCTGTATACTGTGATATTGACCTACCATGATCTTGCTTCTTGGTTTTAGTATTATTTTCATGATATAATGCCCATAAAATAGTCTCTCTGTTGCCAAGCAGTCTGTTTCTAGCCTTTGTGCACTTTACTCATGGTATCCACGCCCTGACAGCTATTTACAGTGGATATAATTTACTGGGTGTTTGATTGATTTGAAAGAAAAGTGTAAATATATGTAAATTAGTACGTTTTCTTCCTGGAGCTTCGCTTCACAATACTGCGTAAGGTTCCCTTTGGTGTAATATTAAAAAGAAGAAAACGGGATCAAAACGTCAGATTTGTGAGGTTATTTCAGGGTGTGTTTACACTGGGCAGGTTTGGGTAGATTGACCAAGCCCTGGTAGGAATACTCTGTTAACAAAGTTCATTCACAGTGAGAACCCTGACATTTTGACCTCTGGTGCAGACCAAAAAAGCGGACTGAAACCCCCAGAGGGAGTTGATTACGTTCCCCTTACCTGCAAAGTATGAATGCAATACGGAGCAGACACACTTAACTCACACTTATCTCCTTTCTAGAAACACATACTTTGGTACATTCAAAAGATGAGTTTCTGACCCTTTGGACACATGCATGTGTTTTATCATGTTTTCATGAGCTCAGTTATAGAAAAGATTAAACAATTTTCTTTTTAAAATGTAGCTGAGGTGCTTTCAAAGCCAGTGTGAATGCTAAGTGAACTAGAACTGAAGTGCAACAGTATAAAGTATAATTTTGACCTGGGGAACCAGTCAAATATGAACACCCCTTAGCAGCAATTAAAAGAACTTTATTTACACTTAAATGTGTTTTTATACTGTAACATATTTGGAAAATTTTGTGATTACTGCTCTGCACTGCTGTGCTGACTTTTCCCTGAGCAACATCCTCAGCAGACCCCAAACCGCCATGTTCTAATATTGCAGCCAAAGCCTGAGAGTGGGGCTGAAGAATGCGACACCTCGTTTCTGTATCGGCTTTCATGCTGGTTGTTTCTCAGTATGCGTATCAGTCACTCACAGGTTTCAGGAAGCATCCATTAGGACTTTCTTAAGTTGATTGATGTGCAGGATCGGAGGGGGAAGTGCCAGGCGGGCTTTGTGTTACCTTGATCTTCAGCGAGGGTGTACATTACTTTTCCTTCCCCTGCAGATCCCCGCTGGTTGGACTGCTCTGGACTGCACATTTGTATGTTTTATGTTTGTTTCGTGCTCAAGGGGAGTTTTTGAAGTATCAAAGTAGGCTTTCTAAGGTTACACTGAGGTACTACCAAAACCCAGCCTTGTTCTTTTGCTTTCTCCTTCTTTCAGACATTGTACATTCTTGTATAATCTGTAACTCGGCTTTGCAGCGTTAAACATTATGAGTGATCTGTGAAGTCGTGGCGGATTTTGGATTTCTGCCTTTTCACCCCTCTCGGTTCCTCAGAGCGAAGCCGCCACAGTGGTTCAGAACCTGTTGGCTCTCTCGGCCTCTCTAGCTGCCCCGCACACTACTTTCCAAGCCGGTCATTTGAATGCTATCAGTCTTTGAAGGGTGTGATGTGTTAATCTGCACTGTGCAGTCAAACATAAGGCTGAAATCGCAATTTGCAGGGGACAGATCTGCTGAGAGCCAAGTCAAGCTGATGGAATATTAAATGCATAATAGAGTAAGAATTTGGTGCAGTCTGCTCGGTTGAAGTGAAGTATTCGTACATAATTTGATGGAAAATTGAGGTTTTAAGTGCTTCGTTCCGGATGGAATAGGCTAATACAGTGTTTAAACACTACCTGTTCATGCAAGCAATAAAGTAGT